GTTTTTAGATTTTAGAGTTGTTGCGACCCCAGATATTCCTACCCCTCTGATCTTTATTTATTATTTTTATTAAGTATTAAGGTATTTATTTTTACATTGAAGACAATGTTAGATTTAGGTTAGGGGGTATGGGCATATGTTTTTTATTGTAACAATTTCTAGTTTATTTACATTGGTAAAAAAATAATTTTAATTAAAAAAATATTAAAAAATAAAAAAAAAATTGTTGGTTATTAAATATCTAAATAAAATTTTTATTCATAATTTGACACCACAATATAGAAATAATTTGCGTAACTTTAAATTTGTAGTTGTTTAAGCATTACATAAAACTTTATTCTATACTTTTGTATTTCATCCCATATTCTTATAAAAACTCACAATTTGTGCACTTTAGACTTTATCAAATTGAAAATTTGTTAGGTATTTTACCTTAAGAACTTGAATCAAATAGTGGAGATGTATAAAAATCCTGGTAAGTTTTGATCCAATCTTTCTTGGAGGGTTATTTACATTTACTCAATAAAAAAATAATTTATTCAGTTAATCTCCTTCAGTAATCTCATTATTGTTGTTTTGGTCAATACCAATATTATAAATGATTGCTTGACTTTAAATTATTTGCATGGAAAGTGTGTTATCAAAAACTCTTGAGATAAAAAAAAAAAAAACTCTTGAGATATGATTTTAGGTCATCTTTGTCATTATTTGAGCCTGAACTTTATTCTTTGAATATTATTATCCCTAGAAGCCAAGATTGAGCCTTTGAAGCAAAATTTTATTTTTTATACCCAACATATAATAACCAAACCAAAGAAAAAAAATAATATCTTTCACCCTTGGTTATCTCGAGATTTAGCTTTTTTTTGTTTATATAATTTGGGAGATGTTGGTTGGGAAAAGATGTTTAAAGATAGTGAAAAAAAAAAGTTTTTGCATACTTGATGTTTTGCTAAAAAAAAGTATATACATTCAGTTGTCTTCTTGTAAAAAAAAAAAGAGAAAAAAGTTGAAACAAAAAAAAAAAAAAAAAACTATATGTCTAGCAGACTGAAAAGAAAAAAAAATAGCAAGCATGAGTTTGAAAAAATATGAGCAAGTGTTGTAAATTGTGCTTCTAAATGGTGAAGAATGAAAGGCAATGAAAAGAAGTTTGGTTGTGTAATGTATATGTTCTCTCTGAATAGTCTTTTTGAATTCTTGAATATCCTTTGTTTTAATACTCTAATCTCAAAGCCCCATTGCAACTTTAAATAAAGACCTATATGATCTCGAGAGTGTATTGGTGGATACATAACTTGTGTGAATAAGGAAAAAAATGGTAATTATTTGTTTATTGTGTGCTGATTTCCTTTCATGAGACTATGTCAAATCTTTTTCTTTTGGATTACATTTTTTTTAATAGACATGTGAGCATTATTTTGTTTTGATTTAAATAACTTCTTCTCACATGTGATATTTAAGGGAATAGTCACTATAATCTGAGAGAATCTTTTATGAGTGAATTATCTAGTGAGAATTGACATTGACACGAATAGTTGATAGTTGTGGAGGTGATTACTGGATAAATTGTTAACTTAGTATAATCAATTCACACTACACACGAGTTTATATGAGAATATGATAAGTGCATACATTTTATATATCGTAGAGTTCTATAATTTGCTTTGTATGTGCTCATTAAAAAGGCTTACAATTTAGAATTTTTATATTGTGATAGTAATTTGTGTTATAAAATTATTATTTAGATATTTGATCACAAGGTGATGTTTGTGGGTATCATATCTGGAAACTCTCATGAGACTATACTTGTCCACTAGGGAAAACTCAGGGGTTTAAAGGCTTGTAGCATATGTTAAATGCAATCGTGAGGGCTACAAAAGTGGATTTGTGTTTTATTTTATTAGTTTATTTTATTTTTTTTTTAGTTTTTAAATTTTAGTATCCATGTATNGATCCATGTATTACAAGGGACTAGTAATCTTTAGGTTGAGGGGTGTGATTAACCATCAAAATTGATATTTTATTATATTTAATAATTGATTAATTGCATATTATTTATGATTAAATGTGTTAAATTCCTTGATTTTTTAGTTTGATACTTTTGTTAGTTATTTGGTTTATTTTATAGGTAAATTGGTTGATTTAAAGTAATAATAGATAATGCAAGTGAAACAATCACTAGAGGAAGAATCACAATTGATAAAGATTGAAGACTCAAAATTGAGATAGGAAGACTTGAAGATATGACAACAATTTAATCCGTAAAAGAGTCCAAATTAGAAGAAAACTCATTTAAAGTTAGGTTAGGAAAGTATCCTAGAAGATAAAGATTTGACACATCTTTAGTATTTTGGTCATAACTTTTGACTCCAAAATCCTATTGACTTGATTTTTACGGGGTTGTAAATAAGACTCTCTAAGGACTACAAAAGTGTATTTCATGAAATTTTCGTGATTCAGTCTCTAAATATGAGAAATTCAAGTTCGAATTCTAGACAAATTTTGTATCCGCGAGCCCAAGATTTTATATACAGGATTTAACCTTACAAGACTTCTTTTTGGAAAAAAATTGCTTCCAAGCCAACGTTATATCTTTTACGTATACTTAAGATTTATTTTTAGTATAAATAAGGGTTCTCATTGAGAGATTATTATTATTTTTCTTCTCATCTTTTCTTTTCTAGTTTTAGTTCATTATATCTGGCTAAAAGGTTCAGCTAGGACTAGGGAAAAACCTCTCAATGAAGTACGGTAATGTTATTAACTTCTGAGTTTAATGATATGTGATGTTTTGTTAATTTAACTTTTGATTTCTTAGCAAAATTTTTGCTCTGTAAAAATCCTTGAGTCATTGTGCCATTCATATTGATTGCTTGAATTTTCCTGCGAGTAAATAACTGGTTATCCTACGCTTAAGTTGATTATCTTTATTTCACATAATAATATAAATGGATGATTATTCAGGTTCCTAAATAATTCTTTGATTATAAATTGTGGTTTTATTTCTTAATTATGTGACTTGAATCAACTGACATTGATTCTTGTCTAATGTTAAGAATTAAGTCTTTAATTATTATTGTATGAAAATTGAGAGGGAGTACCTGATGCTCTAGTATTTTTATTATATTGTTTCAATTACTTTTATCAATATTTTTTCAACTCAACAATCTCTTAAACAAATTCTTCTTATAAGTTTGTTTTAGTATTTGTGTGATCGCTGCTATTTTATATTTCCCTGAGGGTTCAACATCGGTCTATCAAGAAATACATTACTTCGCTCAACCTACACTTGAGTTTATAATATTAAAGTTGAAGCATGTTACATCCGAGTAATTTTGGAATTAGATAAATTTTGTTCCCTGACATCACTCTTTTTTGTTAATCAGACTAACGGCGGGAAGATGGAAGGGGTGCTCATGTCATGATCTTTAAATCTCAGGGGGTTGCCGTGTAATTTTAGAAATATTAGGGGATCTCCGTGTTATTTGCTCAAATGTCAGGAAATGTGAGTGTAATTTATCCTTTTTTATTTTATTTAACAGTTTGTTGACATGGCGACTCTCAATTGGCGTTGGGCACCAAAATAAGCATGACAAGCTAGTATATGCTGCTGAGCATGAAAAATTTACTCAAAAAATATTACCAAATAATTACCTTAACATATTTACGGTAACCTATCAAGATTCTAATCACTTTGATTTAGACCTCACTAATTTGGCCCAAATGACAAAACTGGACCCCACATTTTATTTTATTTTTCCAAATTGGTGGTTTTAAAATCTGAACCTCGGAGGCTAAAATGGTAATTTTAGGCAACTTTTGCACCATGCTTCCATTCTCCTTCCAGTTTTGCCGATTTTCGGAGTGATTAAAAATGCTGGCAGAAAGGATGCATTTTCCAGTCCTTTTTCCGCACCTTTCATTTCATATTTTCTTCTTCACCAAACAAAAAAACATCATTTTTACTCCACCCAATTTCCAGCAAACCAAACAGTCCTTAAGTGCAATTGTTGAGAAGAAAATAGAGGCTGACCCGGTGCAGTACCAGTTGCCAAAGCAGGGTGTTTTGTTGTGTTTTTGCTGAAAATTTTGAGATCATTTTTTTCTTTTGTTTTTGTTTTGTGTTATACTGAATTTTGATGAATCTAAGAACTTGTTTGTGACTTTTGAACCCAGTTTTTCATCCGTTCTGTTGTTATACTTTTCATTGCAATTTGTTATTCTTCATGTTTTGTGCGATCATTATCAGAGCTATGAGTTTTGAAATTTGAAAGTTGTGCTGAAGCTAGGTTATGAAATTTGGGGTTTTTTCTTGTGGTGTGTTCTTGGATGTAGAGTTGCTAGATTCAAGAATCTATGGCTCAAGAAATCCTGGGCTTAGGCCTGAACATAATCTAAATAAAGCATTGGCCAACACAATATTAGTTAGAGGAAAGATGATACTTTGCACTGGAGAAGGGTTTATTGATGTGAAAGACATAGCTTTCCAAGACTGCCTTGTCTTCTTTCCGATCCCCTTCTTCCTCGAGTTCTGGAGTGAAGAGTGAATGAGCATCTCGATATATGTCCATTTGTCTCTTTTAGTTGATTAAAAAGGCATATACATCTAATGAAATAAGAAAAACATGTTAAAACTCGTTAAATAAAGCTTTTGTAAAATTACGAACATACCTCAAGTATCAACAATTTATATATTTTTTACAAATAAACTAAAATTTATTGTTGACGGAGAAAACAAGCTNCTAAATAAAGTTTTTGTAAAATTACGAACATACCTTAAGTATCAACAATTTATATATTTTTTACAAATAAATTAAAATTTATTGTTGACGGAGAAAACAAGCTCAAATACAATTAAGGGGAAAATTGAAAACCCCTTCAAGGATCAATGTCATNTTAAATAAAGCTTTTGTAAAATTACGAACATACCTCAAGTATCAACAATTTATATATTTTTTACAAATAAACTAAAATTTATTGTTGACGGAGAAAACAAGCTCAAATACAATTAAGGGGAAAATTGAAAACCCCTTCAAGGATCAATGTCATAGCATTAGAAGAATAATATGGAAACAATTCCAAATTAACATAATTTTAAACTAGCTAGAATGTTTCAACAAAAGCAACCACAAAACATTAGGGGTTGATACCGAAATATATGGAATTATTTATCATATTACAATCCATCCTCTGATCCAAAGTATTTTAGCCATCAAACGTATTTCACTCCACTTCCCACGTCAAGCAGTGAATCACAGCCAGACATGGCAATAGCAGAAACACTCCTCGAGGACGATGAAGGGAATGTCATTACAAATTCATTTGAAACTTCATTCCCAAATAATGTAGCCATGCCAACTCTTGCAATATCCATAAATACTTCGGGCAGCATAGCATCCCCATCCAAATGCCTCATCACTTGCCTCATGCTAGGCCTAGTCATCGGATTATAGTGCGAGCAAAGCAGACCCAACTTCAAAACCAACTCCATTTCCTCCACCACAAAGTCACCTCCCAATCTCGGATCACTTGCCTCAAGGATTGCTTCTCCTTTCCATTTCTCCATAACCCATTGAACCAGAACCATATCATCAGTCAATCCCTGTACCTTTAGAGGCCTTTTTCCGCAAGCCACTTCCAGCATAAAGGCTCCGAAAGCAAAGACATCTGTGCTAGTAGTTGCCTTGCCAGTTCTAACAAGCTCTGGTGCTATATATCCATAAGTTCCAACCACATGAGTTGTTTTAAGATTTTCACCATGATCATACAATCTAGCAAGCCCAAAGTCTCCGAGTTGTCCATTAAAATGGGCGTCCACAAGGACATTACTGGCTTTTACATCTCTGTGAAGAACAACTTTTTCCCACTCTTCATGTAGATACAGAAGGCCAGATGCTACCCCTCTAATGATTCGATAGCGCTGTGCCCAATTAAGGCTTGGATTCTCGTTCCTATGTAAAAACTTGTCAAGACTTCCATGGGGCATATAATCATAGACCAACAGAAGCTCTCCCTTTCTCCGGCAATAGCCGAGGAGGGCCACCAAGTGCCTGTGCCTGAGCCTTCCCAAGCTGGCAATTTCAGCCACAAATTCCTTCATCCCTTGTGTTGAGTCATGGGAGACTCTCTTCACTGCGACTTGGGCATTGGAAGAAGGTAGTACCCCTCTATAAACCTGTCCAAAACCTCCTACTCCAAGAACCTCTTTATGGTTGAACCCATTGGTTGCCTTGTAGAGATCCTTGTAGGAGAACCTCTGAGGTCCATATTCCAATTCCCAATCCTCGAGTATTTCTGCATACTTTCTTCTCCTTTGTACGTAAGCAATCCCAGCCATAGCGATGATCAGCACAACCAGTACTGTCGAGCCCGAGAATCCAACAATTCGATGTAATTTTTGATTGGATTTTCTGGGTCGAGGAACTGAAGGAAGCCTTGAGAGTTCTAGACTTCGCGCTGGTCCTGTTTTATTGAAGCTCCACCCCAGAATGTAGTGGTTGCTTACTGACACTGCTCCTGTGGATGCAGAGAAACCAACATACATAGACTCCAAGAAAACAGGAGAAAGATCAATGGACGCTGACAAGAGAGGTTGATTTGGTTTTGCGATTCTGATGGGAGCTAAGGTAACGACGATAAATTTTTCCACTCCATCATAGTCTATCCAAACCTGCGTTGGGGTTTTACTCGTAAGTTCCAAGCTCTTGTTGATCCCATCTGTATTGGGAAAATATGACCCCGGAACAGATACAACTGATTTTAGGCTGTTCACATCAATTCCCACATGATTGCTATTTATATCTCCAAACTCAGGGTTCTGCAGAGTATCAAACTCAACTGCAAACACATGGTTCGCGGCAAGGCCGTTGTTTGAAGTATTTAAAATGCCCAAAAACTGGTCTGTCATGCCTCCCTTGGTGAAGTTCAGAGATGATGAGATGGTGAAGGCAAAGCCGTTGCCATTAGGATTTCTCAGTGTAGGAACAATGGCAAAGATAAAATAGGTGGAAAATGAATGAGATTGAGCTAACCCAGATAAGGAAGACGTGTTAAACTTCACAGGAATTTGGAAGAAAGCATGGCCAGTATTTTGCTGGGAAGTGTTGGTTAGCTGCAATAGGCCATTGGGATGGATTACTGCTTGCCCATCAAGATACAGTCTGGATTCACGAAAGCCATGGTAGGTGAACTCGGTGCCATCTTGATCTAAGGCCAAGAGTTTGGTAGATATTAGGAGGAAGATCAAGAANATGAACTCGGTGCCATCTTGACCTAAGGCCAAGAGTTTGGTAGATATTAGGAGGAAGATCAAGAAACTCAGACACCTTCTTGGTGTAGCCATAAAAGAAGTGAGAGAAGGCTTCTTCCGTCTTGAAATTTTGTGACTTTTGAATGGCCTAAATATTTTCTGATCAAATTATCGAGGAAAGGCTAACAAAGTCTACCATCACGTCATTATTCGTGATAAATGCTACTAAAACATAATTGGTCTTTAATTTTGTGGCTTTGAATGACCTCAAATGTTTTCTCATCATATTTTTTAGGAAAGACTAACATGGTCTAACATCCGTTATTGCGCATGAAAAATACGATAACAATATAATTGGTCTTTCTAAATTCTAAAATGGGCGCTCTTATAAGATTAGGGTGGATATAAATTCTATAATTAGACGTCGAAACAATAGCTATTCGGCGTAATAGTTAACAACTTCAATGACTAGATGCTAATGTGACCCATTAATTTGAATTGTACCCATCTCACTTCAAAAATAAAATTTGGTAAAAATATTTGGTCACCATAGCAAAACTCCCGCATTAACTGTGGACTTCTCTATTCTTGCATGGAAACGTTCAACCTGACTGGACTTTTCTGTTCTTGCATCACAAAAGTTATCTAGATATCATGACCATCTTGGTATCATGACCTTGGACATGTGTGGCTGTCGTAGCTTCAAGATTTCAATCATGAAAAATATTATGAAAAATATTATACAAGGCAAATGAAATTTAAAAATTGTAATTTAAATATATATTATCTCTTAAATAAATGAGTTTCACAAAAAAAAATTGATGGGACCTATTCATCAAAGGTGTTACCCCCTTAGCCATTGACAGTATTTGGCATCGGGTAGCCTCGCCTATAGACACTCATGTCTTAGCCAAAATGGCAGAAGTCTCATGCATGATTGAGGGAGGCAGTCCATGCACGTGAGCACGTGGGCACAAGTCAGCATTCAATCAAGGAAGCGGACGACTTGAATTGTGGGGCGATACTAGCTTGAATAATAGGCCATGGGCTAACACGAATGTAATGCAATCCGGATACTGAGAGCTCCTGACACATGCACAACATGTGAGGAAGTTGAGCATGTACTCTGCAGATGGTGGCAGTTCTGGGCAATTCTAGACAGTTTTCTGGCAAATGCATTTTATGTGGGATCTCTGTCAGATTTAGACAAGCATGCAGACACCAGTTATAACTTCTCTGTCATCCAATCACAACAGACCTCTAGTAGCATTTGAATTACAGACACGTGTCCAGGCAGTTGGACTTGTAACTGCCACCCTGAATATTATAAATAGGGTGTTTAGGGTTTGTAGTGCAACAAGAAGGTTGACACGTTTTTGTAAACAGACCCCAAGGTTGAGTTCTTTATACTTTACTGAGAAAGAAAGGTTTGATTGTTGCTTGTAAATTCTGTGTGTCTTGCTTGTGTGTTTACTTATTGTCCATTCTCTGTTCTATGTGCATTTTGTGTGCATTCTGAGTGTTTGGCTAAAACTAAGTGTCGGATCTTAGTGCCATCACGAGGTAAAAATTTGGTTAGAAATTTAACCCCGTGACAATTGGTATCAAAGCTTCAGTTTGCGACCATGGCTGGTGGAAACGCTGCTGAATTACGAGAACGTGTTGCCCGTCTTGAAGATTTTCTGGGCACTCCTCAGACAGATGGTGCAACCAGCGTGGCTGTGCAGATGGAACAGCATGCTATTTAGATTGCGGGATTACATATGGCTTTTGATAGTTATATGTCTGACACCAAAGCAAAAATTGTAACAATGATGGAGGATATCATGTCTGTCACAGACGCTGTCAAAACGAATTTGAAGGATCTTGAAAATGAAGTATCCCTGGTTAAGAGGGCCATGAATTCTCATCCTACTATGGGCGAGACATCTTCAAAGATTAAAGTCCCTGAACCAAAGGCCTTCGGAGACACGCGAAGTGCTAAGGATCTGGAGAATTTCCTCTAGGACATGGAGCAGTACTTTAAGGCAGCCCATGTACCTGATGGAGAGAAAGTAACAATCATCAGTATATATTTATCTGGTAATTCCAAATTGTGTTGGACCCAGAATGTGGACGATCGAGACGTGGGAGACCCTGAAAAAGGAATTGAAGGATCAATTCCTCCCTAGCTATACAACTTGGATTGCTAGGGACTCACTCAAAAAGTTGAAGCACACCAGAATAGTTCGTGATTACGTGAAGCAGTTTAGTTCATTGATGTTGGACATCAAGAACATGTCAGAGGAAGACAAACTCTTCAACTTTATATTCGGACTGCAAGGTTGGGCACAGGCTGAACTGCGAAGGCAGGAGGTACGTGATCTGTCCACTGCCATTTCTGCAGCAGATGACCTTGTTGACTTCAAAATGGGGCTGCAGCCAAGGCCCTCTTGAGAAAAAGAAGAAGGATGGTGGTGGTAGGAAAGATAAGGCTGGTACTTCCAAAGACACAAAGAAAGCAGATTAGAAGAAAAAGAAGAACGTTGCTGACTTTAACAAACCAGACAACAGCCAGAAGAAGAAAACTTTTGATTATAGAGAAGTTAAGTGCCCTTGTCGCTGCAAATGAGAATGATAGTGATGATGACTGTCTTACTCGAGTCAACCCTCTTCAGTTGCTGAATGCAATTACTGTGGGCAAGGTTCAGCAATCCCGCAAAGGCCTCATGTTTGTTCAGGCTTGGGTGAATGGCAAGGAAGTTCAGGCCATGGTGGATACTGGAGTCACCCACAACTTTGTTACCTAAAGAGAGTTGGGAAAGTTTGGTCTGAAATTGTCAGAAAATTCAAGCAAACTCTAGGCAGCAAATTCTGAAGTAATGCCAGTACGTGGTACAGCAAAAATACGCCTAAAGGTGGGTCTGTGGGAAGACCAAATGAGTTTGATGGTTGTGCCCTTAGACAACTTTGATGTCATCCTAGGGAATGAATTCTTTGTTACAGCAAAGTGGCACTGATGCCACATCTGAACAGAGTGCTGATCACGAATGAGAAAGCACCCTGTTTTGTGCCTGTAGTCATGGCAGACCAAAGCAAGAAAGATGGAAAGCAGAAGGTGGGAATGTTGCCTACTATGCAAGTAAATGCTGAGTTGAAGAAGGGCGAGATGACATACCTCGCAGCCTTGGTGGAGATCAAACCAAATTTGCTGGTTAAAGTACCTGATACTGTGGCAGATGTACTAGTTGAGTTCGCTGATGTTATGCCCCCTGAACTCCCCAAGAATCTTCCACCCAGACATGCAATTGATCACAAGATAGAACTGGAGCTTGGAACAAAGCCTCCAGCCCATGCCTCTTACCAGATGTCGCCAATGGAAATAGCAGAATTGAGGAAGCAATTGAACGAGTTGCTAGATTCTGGCAACATGAAGCCATCCAAGGCATCATACGGAGCCCCTGTTCTGTTCCAGAAGAAG